TAAGTGAACCTTAATACTTACTTCCTTTAAAATGAGTATTAATAATAAAATATGATTAGAGAATAATATATCATGATTTAAATTATTAATATGGAGAATTTTACACCAACCTCCTAATGAATTATTTTATTAGAATAACATTTAGTTGCAATTTAATATTACAAAAATAAAGCCAAATACCCACCGGATGATAATCAAAGTCAATATCTTACTCACGCAATTAAAAATGACCATAAAAATCTTAAGGCAAGATGTAATGAGCAGAAGTAGTGGAACTAAATCATACACAAAAAGATAATGGTATTTGGTGTAAAAGACCTAATTAAATAAAATCCGAAAATAAAAATAGATTAATAAACAAAATAAGATTTTACAACATAATCAGACATTATTTAATTTTTCGTAATAATAAGAAAATTGTTAAAGTCGACGCGCGCACCCCTACCAAATTTAAGAACTGCAATTCATACCCTGGTATCTCTATGCGGTGTCCCATCTACGCAATGCCCTGTGTATTAGAATATGCTGGTACACGCGTCAAACTTTACGGTATATGAGGAAAACCCTGTCATCAGACATTCAACTATGTTTTGTATTGGACACAATCCTTAATATATTGTGTCCGGTACAAAATATAAATGAAAGCTCGATGTCAGGATTTTCTCTTGGCGGCACTCATATATTTACTCACTTGAATAATGATCTGTGGAGTGTTTCTAAAAAAAATATCAAAGAATGTTCCCCATATAATTGCAATCTTAAATATACGCGTCAATCTATCAAATATATTGTATCGATTTAATCTTTTATTAAATATCAATATATCTTTGAAAATTATCAAGTATTCGTAATCAGTTGTTGCCAAAATAATAAGCATAACTACTAAAACTCGATGTTTCATATCCCATTTAAAATTTTCACGAATGATGGGATTTTTAGTTCCATTGTATATAGTATAGATTGCTAAGAAAAAATTCATGTATAATGGAACGTATAAGAAAAATACACTTCAAATCATGTTTTCACAAGAATTAAAAGATTATAATAAGTAATTTAATATTAATAATTCCAATAAAATAAATTGTATGGTAAATACCTTGGAATATGAAGTTCCGGTGCATCGTTAGAATAACAAGCAACAAAGAGAATTGAAAAAATAAAATTAGGGATGATTAATAAAAGCCTTAATACTGCACTACTTAATGCCTCAAATTTTTTCGAGTTTAACTTTTTAAACAAAAATTTAATTAATATTCACGATGAAAAGTTCTTAAGAGAATATTTGATAAAATAAATCACCTTATAAATAAATATATGAGTAAATAAACACAATATTATAAAAATCACAATTCCAAAGATTATTAGAACTTTGTATTCATTCCATGCATTCCCTATGGTACAAAATTAGTCACAAATCACAACTTTGAATCATTTTTGAAACAATTCACTTACAAATTGGTATAAACCCGTAATATTGGTCCAGATCGTTTGTCACGCTGCTAGAAAAGGTAGTAATGTTTTTGTAAACAATCATATTGGATAAATCTGAAAATACCTCTGAAACAGTTCTTTCATTTTCATTATTTCTAACATCTATGTGAATTGAAATGACAATGTGACCATGAATTAATTTCGTATAATTATTTGAACTTAAGCGGGAACGACGTATAGGAGCTTTATCAGAAAGTTCATTTAATAAAGTATTAATGTATATTGATTGATTATATGGTAAAAAGCTTTTAGAGGCATTTAATGTAAGATAAACCAAGCCCGTAGCAGCTATGTCTACAAAAAAATTAATGTGAATCTGTGATGCATATTGATTGTACATAACATAATGCGCACCTTTAGAGTTTATCCTTTTATTATCTAAGTTACCTAAAAGGTCAAAAGGATAAATCAGATAATAAAATTTTAAAACAAATTTAAAAATAAATTAAAAATATTACCAGACTTGAGAATCCAAATGTCATCATCAATCCCTTTTAAAGGTTCTTTATCTATTAAGTCCT